GTTGAGCATTCACAGGAACACAGGAAGTTGCTGTACTTTAGGCCATTGTGCATCCAGCTCAGTGTTGTTATTGTCGTTGTCATCATACCACCCTTCATCCACATATCTCAGGGCGGTTCACAACATAAAAATACAATATAAAACCACAACATACATGATAAAACAAGAACAACAAACCAACAAACCCCTCCCTCCTCCCACAATCACTGTTAAAAGATGTACTGTACAGTGGTACCTCGGGTTACAGACACTTCAGGTTACAGACGCTTCAGGTTACAGACACTTCAGGTTACAGACTCTGCTAACCCAGAAATAGTACCTCGGGTTAAGAACTTTGCTTCAGGTTGAGAACAGAAATCGCGCGGCAGCGGGGCATGGCAGCAGTGGGAAGCCCCATTAGCTAAAGTGGTGCTTCAGGTTAAGAACAGTTGCAGGTTAAGAACGGACCTCTGGAACGAATTAAGTACGTAACCAGAGGTACCACTGTATAAGATGTTAATGGCCAAAGGGCTGAGGAACCCTACACAGGGCTGAATAGCAAGCCCCAAGCATCACCCTCTGGAAATGTCCATCCAAGTAGGACTGGAACCACCGCAAAGCAGTGCCACCCACCACCCCTAACTCAAGATAGCCACTAGTGACTGGCAGCCCCTCTCCAGCATTTCTGACAAGTGTATCTTCCAGCCCCATCCGGAGACACCAGGGGTCAAACCTGGGACATTCTGCATGCAAAGAAGATGCTCTGCCACTGAGCTATCGCACTTCCAAATCTGTCCTGCACAAAGTTTCAAGGAAGGTTATACAACTGAGCATTCATTCTGCCTTGTTTGCGGGGAGGTTATGCAAAGTCGCACCCAGGACTATTCCACACTTTTCGGTACATTTTGTTCTGGCAGGTGGCTGTTGCACAAGACGGCTACATTCACGTTAATTGTGCAAGCAGAATTTTATGATACGTGTGCCTGAATACCACCCCTAAAATAGGCAATGTCCTAAGGTAAGGTTACCAGATGTCCCCGTTTCCTGGGGACAGTCCCTGGATTTAAAAATCAGTCCCCATACAAAATCCATTGAAGTGTCCCTAGATTCATTGAAAAAAATCTGGTAACCTTACCCTAAGGGATCATGGGCACTGTGGCAAATCTCCAGGACAGGGGAGACCAGCCACTCACACAAGACCTGCCACATTCTCAATATTGCATTGAGCACATTTTAACAGCTGTGGCTGAGACGTCACACAAAAGCATCAGCCACGGCCGCCGTGGGCAGGGTGCTGCCCTCTCTCCTTTCTGTAGGGACACAGCATGATGCAAGTGTCTCTGTGTGCACTTAGGCAGAGGCCCCGAGGGACTTGGCTGCCGGCCAGAGCAATCGTCAGCTGGAACCTGAGGTTGTTTTGCTAACGCTTCTTTCATGCTCAGGTGTCCTGGTTAGGAATGTAGTGGCTGGTTGACAAAATCTGGGGCATAAATGCAATGTGGCGAGGTCATGCAAGTGCCAGCGTAGAAATGCACTTTGCACCAAAGCTGATGTGGAAGGAACCCTGAGTTGCAACGCGCAGGCGCAGTCTCCGATTGCTTGGGGGAAACCCTGGAGAATAGGGGAATTAGGAATCCGTGGGGAGGCAGGGACCTTATCTCTCTGCAACTGCTTCAAGACAAAACGGGGATAAGTTGCTGTGCTCATTAGGTCTGACACTCCATGTTTTTGTTAATAAAGAGTTAACTCCAAATTGTGCAGTGTGATTTACTGCAGGCTCACCTCTGGTACACATAAAGATCTCTCAATTCTTCACCAAGGCTAGCAAGAGTCACGGTCCCATTTCGAGGGAGGACACATCCCAGCCGCTCAAAGCACTCAAGAGGAGTGTAGAGGGAGGCTGCTGAAGAAGTAGCCCCAGAAGCAGTGGTGTGGCCTAGAGGAAGCATAGCCAAATTTAAGGCTTGGGTTTGAGCTCTGGGATTGCGATTCCCTATCTCTGATCTAACCCTCCCTTCTGCTGACACAATTCCCTAGTTTGATGCCGCAATCCTGCACTCCCTAAATAGACATCGGGCACCACTGAAATCAGCGGGACTCAATGGAGAGTAAAACACAGTGAGGAATCTGCGTCATTAAAACTTTTATCTCGAAAATCTGCAAGAAGGTGTTAATGGGGGCTGAAACTCATTTGACTTAATTTCAAGTAGAAAGACAGGGCGGTTAAAAGATCTGGCGCGCCATTTCTGAGCTGTCATGCTATTCTTTAGCCAAACCACAGGAGTTTTATGAACAGACACAAACTTGTGGATACATACATAATGTTCATATGGCTAGAACTATTGTTTTGAAAATGGAACATCCAGCTTCCCCTCCCTTGGTTTTTAAATAGGGCATGTAACCATCACAGCAGGCACTGTCTTAGAAGCAGTGTTCCTCTCCTAAGTGTAATAAAATGGGGGCTTATTGATTTACTTATGCTGACAGTCAGTCTTTCTTCCATCATAGAACCCAAGGAAGCACATATGCTATTCCCTGATGATCAGCCATTCAGGCACTGACCAAACTCAGACCTGCTTAGCTTCAGCATCATGGTGGATTCATATACTTCTCAACCATATGCTACAATGCCTGTTAGGGGTTTTTTTTGTAATCATAAGTACTTAAAAAAACAACTGCAGAGGGCAAGCACCCTCTTAGTTGCATAAAAAAACTGATTGCCCAGTAAACTGGTATGCCTCTTCACTTGATTAGAAAGGCTTTTAATCAATTAACCTAAATGATTTACGAATCAATCGAAGGGTTGCAGCCTTACACCTTACACTTCAGAACATTACAAGCAATAGGAGAAGTGAGTCATAGCTCAGTTGGGTTGAAGTGTGGTGCTAATAACACTGAGGTTGCAGCTTTGATCCCCATAAGGGGCAGCTGCATATTGCATATTGCAGGGGTTTGGACTAGATGATATTCTGGGTACCTTCCAAGCCTATGATTCTACAGTGCAACCCCTGTGCAAGTCGACGGAGAAGTACTGGTAACTCCCAGCTAAAGTGTGCCTCGGACCGCAGCCTTAAAAGGTTTTAGTTCAGGAGTATCTAATCTGGCCACATGACCCAGATGGTCAGGGGTCCATGTCGCATGTATAAGTTCAGGAGACTTGCTACTTCTGCAATTCACTCATTTCAAAATATAGCTGCTAATTTCATTATCATAGCCACATACCTGTCCTTGGTTAATAATGCACTCCGAGCCGCTAAGGTACTCCCCTTGGTGTTTTTGCAATTACATCTATCTGGATATTATCAAAGATATGTGTCATCATTTCTGACTCCAAGAGATCTACGTAACTTCTCGCTCTGAGCATAATTGCTGAGTGAATATCTGTCTGGATTGGCTGAGTGGGGACAAACCTATAATTTGGCATAGTCTTAAGCCTTTCACAATTAACCAGAAGATCTCAATAAGGAAGACAGCCTCGTTGCTGAATTCGCCCATTCCTACTTCACTGCAAGCTTTCTGACACGCGGGAGATTCTCTTTGAAGCAGGGCTTTCCACACTGACACCGTTCACCAGCTGCGGAATCCTCTGGGCATCTCCCATAGAATCCTTGTGTGCTGCAAAGGATTCTGGGACATGGTCTGAACGAAGCACTGGTCAGACCTGCTCTGCATCATGTGACTCTTTGCCCTGGAACACACTCAGTGCTCCTCCACAGTGTTGAAAACTGCAGCCAACCTTTGCCATGGCGAATTATTTGACTCTCATCAGCTCCAGTCAATATAACCAATAGGCTGCTCCATACATTTAAAGCACTCCCCCACCTGCCAAAAACAGAATCCTGGGATCTGTACTTTAACTGCTCCCCACCACTTCCTAGCCCTGACCTGGTAGCAGATACAGAGAGAATGAACCAGACACACAATCTGTTGTGTGTTGACACACCTGCTGAAAAACGCTGGGCAATGTCAGAGGAGTGGGAGTCAGCCCCCCCAAATATTTATGCTAAAAGGTCTGGACTGTAAAATGAAAACATATTATGCAATCCCTGAGATCCCAGGAGCTGGGGTGTGGCTTAGGCGGCCAGAGGATATAGGATCTCTCTCCTCAGCCTTCCGCTTGCCAGAAACAAAACAAGATGTTTAGGGAAGTTTTTAATATTTAATGCTGTATTGTTTTTAAGTCTCGATTGGGAGCCGCCCAGAGTGGCTGGGGAAACTCAGCCAGATGGGCGGGGTATAAATAAATTATTATTATTATTATTATTATTATTATTATTATTATTATTATTATTATTATTATCTCTTTCCTGATTTTCACCCCCCTCTCCTCCTTTCTGTGTTTTATCTTGCATAACTTGAACTTGGCTTTGTTTGGACTGAGTTGCACCTGCAACCTTGCCCTTGTTTGTGACTGTTTTGCTAAGATGCACTGTTTTGCTAAGGGCACCCACTTTCAGAGAAGCTGGTCTGCCACTACTGGTCTTCACAATGATAAGCCCTTGATAAGCCTCTCAGTCTCTTTCCTTTATTTGTGCTTCCTGCAGCAAGCAAGCAAGCAAGCAAGGAGCCATGCAACTATGGCTCCCAACTTCAAGAAAAGTCAGGTGATTTGAATCTCTCCAAAATGGAGATTCTAAAGCCTACGTCTTTGCTAACCCAAAGATTGCATGATGGCTTTGTAAGGAAACCAATTTTTCCTTTTTTAAAGTTGCTTGGAACCCTTTTCATCTTTGCTTTACTGTCAGCAAATGGTAAAATCTGTGAGTAAAATAGTCACCTATGATTTATTCTAGCCTAAATATTTTCATGGGAACATTTGTTTAAAGGTGGATGCGGGCAGTAAATCGAACCGAGTTTTGATGTGCTTGGAGCCATCACCACTGTGCTAAGTCTGCTATGAGAGAGTAAGAAATCTCTCTTCCAAACATCTCTCTCCAATACTTAACCACTATATGGTGACACATTTACACCATGAAGTGGACACTTATCCAGTAAAATGACAGCACATGTGAAACTTGGGACTGGGAGATCTTACAAGTTTATTTGTGGGGGTTTTTTAAATGTCTATGCTGTTGTTTCTCCCACTAGGGAACCAAAAGCAGCAAACACCACTGAAATACAAAACTATCAAAAGAATATCAAAACACAACACTGAAATAAGGCAATCAGCAGTTGGAACAAAAAAGGCAAAAAAGAAGAAGAAGTCCTTGCTTCAGCTTCCCCCAAAGGACACTTAAAGAGCAAAGTCTTCCACCAGGAGCCAGAAGGCATACAGGGCTCCAAACAGTGCAAATTCCAGTTGACACCACAACCAAAAAGTCCCTGCTCCACCTAGTCAAACCTCAATGGGTTGGGAAACCCAGAGTAGAGCCTCAGACACTGGTGCGTACAACAGGTCACACCTGGGAGAAGGTGGTCCATAGAGGTTAGAATTGATATCAACAACTGTTTAAAAAGTGGCACATTATCTGTGTAGTCCTACTTTAGTTTCAGGGAGTATGCTGAAGTCAAGCACTCTGTGAAGAAGCTTTCTTAGCAGGGCAGCGGTACTTCCTGGCAATGTTAATTGCTCCTGTGCAACTATTATAAACCTATGTTTTACTGCAGGTTAATTGCTGCGGCTTTAGGGACAGCCATAAAGCATACAGGAAGAAATGCAACGGACAGGTGAGTCTGCCTCACTTGAACTGGACCCTAGGGGTTCATTATCTGTTATATCCACTGCAGCCGAATCAGCTGCCTCTTTCCAGCTGCCTCAACACAGGGTCACAGCTGCCTGCGAAGTTCTCCTCCACAAGCCCCAATGAAAGAACTGGGAGTGTGCCCCCAGAGAGGTCAGGTCTGTCTGTCTCAAGCCCTTCAGGGCACCCAAAATCTGGGCTGTGTCTGATGATCACACGCAGCCCTGTAGCCACATTTGTTTAGATGTGAACCTGCATTCTGCACAACTCCTGCTTCTTCCTCTGGGACTCATGAAGGAAAAGACTGCATTGCAGATCCAGCTCCCAAACTCTTAGGTTTCTGCCTACTCCATACATTTCAATGCAGAATAACATGCTCCGCTTAAATAAAATAAAATGCTATGTTGGTTGCAGTTCTTAAACGGGCAACTGTTTGCTTCTGAAATTATAAAGGCACAAACCTCTGTCACTGAAGAACACTCTCTTTTTTCGGTTCTATGGATCGCGTAAATTAATTCCTCTACTACCGACTGCCTGAAGTTAGGTGGAAAGATAGTTAAAACTGACTGAAGGGGCTTTTCGGTGATGGGACGTTGCTGTGAAAGAGGCTCTTCTTCCAGATTAAGGCTGCAAATGCACAATACATTTAAAGCACACGGCTTTCCCCAAAGAATCCTGGGGGAACTGTTGTTTGTTAAGGGTACTGGGAACTGCAGCTCTGTAGGGGATAAACTACAATTCCCAGGATTCTGTTTGTGGAGGGGGAGGGGAGTATGTTTTAAATATATGGTGCACATGCAGACCATATCAAACCAGCAGATACCAGAAAGCATTCCTTTACTTACCTAGGAGAGCTACTTTCAAGTGTCAAGATGTAGTTAAGAAACCCCTTTTCCCCTGCACAGAGAAGAGCAGACATGTTTAGCTGCAGAATTCCATGCACAGCATAGTGTGGGTTTGGGCTGTCTTGCAGTAAGGGAGACAAAGAGGGTTTGTAAGAAAGAGAAGCTGTGCTCCTGCGGCCTAGGAGATGGGGGAACCCCTTCTCTCTGAACGGAAAGAAATGGAAAGAGAGCCAGGCCATCAGAGGACACAACCATACCATTAAAACCAGTACGACTTCATTGATTTGGGAGAGGGACTGGAGACCTGAGCGACAAAGGACAGGGCACTTCCATGATTTTCCAGGTAATCCTAATGAGGATGGAGGGAAGGATATGCGCTTAGCTTCCAAACTGCCCCTGGTTCCTGCTACCTTCAAGGGCTGCGCCACACACAACACTTTTGCAGCAGTTGTTTTCCTGCATGGCTGAAGGTGCCAATGGATGGACATGGGCCATTCTGCGCCATGCGCATAAGCTTTCTGTGCAGCAGTGGGAATTGCACCCTCCCTCTTGTGCAGTTTTGTGAGGTTAATCCAGAAAAGGTAGTTTCCGTGGAGGCAGCTCCTTTGGGGTCCTGCAACTCTCTTCCACACAGGTAAGTACATACTTGTCAGGAGAGTTTTCTAAATATCCCCAAAACACCCAGAGAAATTGGGCGGAGGGTCTAGCTTTTCCATGGTTCTGTTTATCCCCTGTGCTCGTTGCCAAAGCCCTCCACAAGGAGGAAGAAGAAGCTTTTGTGCCTTGGCTGCTGATTTCCTTAGCTGCCGGCTTCCCTTCTGACATCTGAAGCACGCTGAGTCCTTGCTGAAAGGGAAGATCAGCACAAAGGCCTGAGGAAGAACAGGACCACGCCGGTTGGAGGGACCTTGGTGCGAATGGGATCGTTGAGCTTGTAGGTCCCCATGAACAACTTTTCCAGCACTTCATAGACCTTGTAGCCTGCCTTGCAGTCCAAGATGCCCAGAAGTCCCAAAGTCGTCACAATTGGCTTCGGTGTCCCATCGGTGCCATTGTTCATCACTGCTACCGCGAACTGGCCATTGACGAGGGGCCTCTTCCATACTTCCAAGTGTTGGCTCTGTCAGGCAGAGATGGGGAGAGGCTTGGTTACTGACATTTAGCTTTATGCTGGGAAACTACAGGGTAACTCACTTAAAGATCTAAAAGAACGCCTCACCCGTTATAAATGCAATCAAAGACTTCCTGCAGGCACCACCTCATCAGAAGGTCAGATGTGTCTGTCATGGACTGGCTGACTGGATACAGAGGAATGGTGGGAGACACCAGCTGGGAACTCCCAGGGGAAGAAGGCTCAGAGCCTGGGGATTGGTGGTGGGATGACAGTGAGCGGTCAGAGAGAGAAAAGAGAGCAGACTGGGAGGAGCAGGTGTCGGAAGCAGAAGAGGCAACAGGGTTTAGTGAGAAGGGAGAGTCTGTGCCAGAGAGCAGTCCAGAGTCAAAAGCAGAAGCGGTGTGTGTGTGTGTGTGTGTGTGTGAAGAAGCAGAGTTGAGGCAGGCTGCTGAAGAAGTCAGGGAGTCTCCCCCTCCTGCTGCCACCAGCTCCCCTCCCTCCTGGTCTCCTAGAACACGCAGAGAAAGGAAAAGGGCAGAGATGGGTTGTGTATAGACACAGCTGCTACTGCTTTGGAAAGACCCCTGAAGACGAGAAGCCTTAGAGAGTGGTGGGAAGGCGGGGACCTTCAGCCCTTGCAACTGCCTCATCGAGGGCACAACCTACTGGGAAGAGTTGCTGTGATCACTAGGCCTGCGCTATTTTGGTTTCTTTGAATAAAGAGCTAACTGCGCTGACAGTGTTTTCTTTATTGTTGACCTACGCTCGACTCCGGGTCCTGACACGTATGATGTAGGAATCCAGCCTACTCCTTTGAATTCCCTCCCTTTACACCACATGTGAGGGAGCTTTGGCCCTCCAGGTATTGATGAACAACAACTCCCACCGTCCCTGGTCACTATGTTTGCTGGGGCTGATGGGAGTTGAGGTTCGGCAACATCTGGCAGGCCAAAGGTTCCCCACCCCTACGTTGCATACTAGTCAGGCGCCATCTTTGTCATCTTTTTGGCACCTGCTGAATACTTCTCTCTTTCAACAAGCCTTTCAAGTGGAGATCTTTCTGCCACTCAGCATCAGAGCTGTTTTTGAACACGAAATTGTTTTTAAATGTTTGCATTGTGTTTGTTTATGTAACTGGCTTTAGACGTGTTTACGCTTTTCTTTTTTATGGTTGCAGCTCACAATCTGCATTACAATTGACTTTTGTACAGCGCCCAGTCATTTGGACATTGGATAAATATTTATCACTGGGCATTGCCATCGCCACAATTACCATTCATTCATAAGCTGCTGCCTTGACACTGTGTACAGGAAATGGCAGCAATTCCGCCCAAGCCATCTGGCACCGGACTGCTTTCTCAAAGGGTCTGGTGACCTACAATGCACACAATCTCTGCACTGTGCCTACGAACAAAATTCGTAGTTGCCTTATACTGGGTCAGACTCACTGACTGGCAAAGGCTTTTCAGGGTTTCAGGCAAGAAGTCTACCTGGAGATGGCGGGGATGGAACCTGAGACTATTTGCATGTGAGGCAGAGCTATGCAGACTTCCGCTCCCTCTTGAGGTCACAGTCCATGCAACTCTGCAGGGATGTGACACGTACAGAAGTGGAGGAGTTTGGGGGAGGCAGTGATGGTGTTACTCCTGATGGTCAGCATTTGCTCGCCTGCTTCCGATAGGAAAATGACTGTGGCCAGTGCTGTAGCATAGGAAGTGACAATAAACTCTTTATTAGCAAAACAGCATCTGCACAGGAGTGTCAGGCCTAATGAGCAACTCAGGTCTTGCCCCCATGAAGCAGTTGCCGAGACTAAAGATCCTCACAGCCGTCTAAGTCCCCCTCCTCTCCAGGGATTTCTCCCCAAGCAACTGTGCCTGCAGGCCTGTCTTTTAGGCCTCTCCTGCCTCTGGGGGACAAGTGGGGAGTGGAGCTCGTCACAGCAGGCGGGGAAGACACTCATGACTCTCCATCTCTGCTTCTTGGCCTCCCTCCTCTCCTGCTTTAGCTTCTGCCTCTGATTCTGGACTTCTCTCTGCTACAGACTCTCCCCGCTCACTACGTCCTGTTATCCCTTCAGCTTCCGACACCTCCTCTTCCCAGTCTTCTCCCTCTGACCCCTCATCAACATCCCACCACCACTCCCTGGGCTCTGTGTCTTCTTCCCAGCTGGTTCCTCCGACCATTCCTCTGCACCCAGCCAGTCCTTGACAGCACAGGACTGCAGTGAATGGTTACAACATGGGCTTTTTTCAAGCTGGGGACAGGAAACCTGTAGCTCTCCAGAAGCTGCTGGACTACAACTCCCATCATCCCTGAACACTGCTCCCGCAGGCTGGGGCAGATGGATGCTGGGAGTCTGACAACATCTGGAGGCCCGCAGGCAATCCAAACCTGCTCAAGGTGGCTAGCAGAGTTCTGGCTATGGCAACCAAATTCCCAGTATTGGCACAACCTAATCCAGGGTGTGACAAAGAGAGTGCACAGAGCTATTATTAGGTTCGATACTCTGCATAATTATTACCCTGCTGTGCCTATCAATCCCAGGAATTGGTGATGTGTGTGGGGAAAACCTGCAGGCTGCGACTATCAGCAGGTATCACACTCACAGCTGGAGCCTCATTACAAAATGAGGTGTGGCTCCCATTGATTTGGGATCAGGTGGAAGGGAGGCCCGTGTGTGGGAGGGACAGATATCCGGGGGAGGAGGGTGTCGCCAGAATAATATTAATGACCAAGAAGGTAAGAAAACAAATCGCCTGCTGGTTGCAGGAAGGAGCGGGAGGGCAAAGCGCTAAGCTGCGATGCTGATCGAGTTCACATGCCACAAGGGATGAGTGCGTGCGAGGACAATTACGGAAAGAAGGAGCCGGGAGCCTGATGCTGGCCAAAGTGGCCCCAGGAGACTCAAAAGCCCAAGCTGGATCCTGCCACAAAACCAGCTGCTGCTGTGTCATCCAGTGCTTCAGTGGCCATGTAGGAACTGCACCTAACTGCTCCTGCTCATTTGTGGCTCTTTCTTCCCCTCTGTTTACCTTGAATAGAAAAATGGTTACGCAGGACATCCCGTTTCTGGTTTCCTGGTTTTAGAGCTTCTGCCCAACTTGGAAAATGCCACATGTTGTTTTTCTTACAAACTGGCATTGCTGAGCCTCTCCAGCCCCTCCCATGTCCCTCAGTTGTTTATGGCGATGTCCAGCATTCAGGGAAGAGCTGTGCCTCAGCGGTAGAACATTTGCTTTGCCAAGAGAAGGCCTAAAGTTTGAGGAACAACCCCTGCCTGAAACCCCTACCAGTCTTGAGCTGCCAGTCAGGGCAGACAATACTGACTTAGATGCACATTGGCACAAAGCAGCTTTCTATGAATTACTCCACAGCGGTGAAGTACAGTGTTTGACATGAGAAGGCTAAGAAGCGATCTGTGTAGGCAAGCAAAGAAACATCAACAAAGGCTTCATTGTATTATTATATTAATCACCTTCTAAACCTCTGTCTCAGGGCCATTTACACATAAAACAGAAACAATATTCCTGGGACTCTAGGAATCCTGCTGCAACCCTATCTTAGCGCCAAAGCACCTGCTTTGCAGGCAGGCCCCAGGTTTTATCCCTGCCACCTCCAGTTAAAGCAAGGGTGGGGGACCAAATGAGTTCCTCCAGGCCACTCTAGCTGGTGCTCAAGTCTCTCCCCAGGACACACCCGGGAAGGCTGCCTGGTTGGCGCTGACCCGTGACACAGCCTTTTCAGTGGTAGCTCCCCAGTTGTGGAATGCCTAGTGAGGCTGCCTCGCTACATGATTGCTAACTTTCAGAAGGGAATGGAAAACATTCCTGCTTTTGCTGGCTGAAGAATACTGTTCCTGGCAACCCTGAGATCAGTGGATGAAAGTACCGCATTGGTCCGAATATAAGCCGCACATTTGAAATTGGAGGGGGGGGAAGAAAAAAAGAAAAAATACCCCAACATAAGTCACTCCATTCCTCGCTACTCCTGGCTGCATATTGGATATTTGGGGGGGGGAGCTGCGCTGTGTTGCTGTTGGCCTTTCCCCTTCCTCACCCTCTCTCCCTTCCTGGCCTTGGGGGAGAGGATGGGGGACCACGCACAGGGTGGGCACCGCTTTGCCACTTTCCTGGTTGCCTACTGTAAGGTTGAGAATATAAGCCGCACTTTAACTTTTCACAGTTGGAATTTGGGGGGGAGGAAGTGAGACTTATATTCAGGCCAATACGGTATGTTTTTTTTATTGTGGTTGGCGTTTAGAATGTTTTAATCTGTTTTGGAATGCTTTTGCTTTGATTTTTAATTGTATATCTTTTTGCAGCCCTGGGGTGCATGGGAAGAAGCCAGGGATACAATTTTAATTAAATGATGAGAATAATAATAATACTCCCTTCCATCTCCCCTCAAGTGATTCTCCCTAGTTGGAATGCCTTCCTGAACTAGGAGAACGCCTCATGCTTGCCTGGCTGGAGAGGTGTGTGTACAGTAACCTCGGACTCCTACACAGCTGACTTTCGTCAAATAACTTGCTTCACTCACTTCCCCCTGGCTCCACCCACTGTCCCATTGGCCACACCCATTTTGCCTTTGGCCCCACCCACCACAGGCACACAGCTTTCAGACTGCAAAGAGGTTCCCTGCACAGAATTTTGCTTAATGGTTGCCATTAATTTGATTTTAATTAATTTTTATAATGAAAGGTTTTTAGAATGTTGGATTATTTTGATTGTTGTTAGCTGCCCTGAGCCCAGCTTCGGCTGGGGAGGGCGGGGTATAAATAAAATTTATTATTATTATTATTATTATTATTATTATTATTATTATTCCCTGGACCTGAGTTGAAGAAGAAGAAGAAGAAGAAGAAGAAGAGTTTGGATTTGATATCCCGCCTTTCACTCCCCTTCAGGAGTCTCAAAGCGGCTAACATTCTCCTTTCCCTTCCTCCCCCACAACAAACACTCTGTGAGGTGAGTGGGGCTGAGAGACTTCAGAGAAGTGTGACTGGCCCAAGGTCACCCAGCAGCTGCATGTGGAGGAGCGGAGACGCGAACCTGGTTCACCAGATTACGAGACTACTGCTCTTAATCACTACACCACACTGGCTCCTAGAAGGATCTTGGGGGACAGGGAATTTATGAACAGGGGGACTTAAGACCTTGGAGAGCTGCTGCCAATCAGAATAGGGGATGCTGAGGCAGATGGACTAAATCTGGCGCTGGCACAAGGTGGCCTTGTACGTCCATATGCAGCTTAGCTGCATGGACAACCCATTCCATGGATGACATGTTTTCAGGCTCTTGCAACCACCCAGAGGATAAAGAGAGTTACTGCTCAGGTCACTCAGTAACCGTACCTTTGCAATACGCTTCCCTTGAATCCCCAGATTGTCTTGGTTGATGTAGATGAGCAGTGGGTTCTGCAAGATGTTCTTGGCCTCGGTCGAGATAGTCCGTAAGTTACAGGACATGAAGAAAGGGGCCGCCAGCACTGCCCACAGGGCCACCTGCACTTTCGACTGCTCGTAGCTCAGGCCAAAGTTACCAATGATCAGCTGGGGGGGAAAACACAACACAAGAGAAAGAACATTTTATTCAGCAGAGTGTCATCTTCTAGAGGAAGAGCAACACAAAAGGAAAGGAAAAAATGATTTACAGCTTCGAAACCGGATCCTGAATGTAAAGACAAATTGGAATGAGTTTATCCCTGATTAGGTTTGCCATGGCCTGATGGTTATTACCCTGTGGTAACACAGAGGCAGGTTTTGGTGCCAGTGTTGCGGAATGCCCTCCCTGCTGAAACATCACAGCCCTCCATATATGCTGGCATTCCTCCAGCCCTTGAAGACACACCTGTTTAGGTAAGTGTTCCCCTGAACGTAACATGCAGTTTTATTGCTTTAACTGTTCAATGGTATTAATTATCACACTTTTTAATGGTTGATTGTATGTTTTAATGGCTTCATGGATTTGTTAATTGTGTATTTTAATTATGTACTAATTTTAATCGTCGTAAAACACTTGGAAGCCAATTTGGCAAAAAAGCGGTACAGTATATAAATCAATAATAACCACAACATCTTATTTTAAATATTCATAGGGCACCTTTCCAAGCGAGTTATTACAACTACTAGCTGCCAAGGACTTACAGAATGAGGTATTCCTATTTTGGCATTTGTAATAATAATAATTAGAAGACTGCCATTTTCTACAATAAATTACTGGCTTGCAAAGCCCTTTGTTTATACGCACGCCAGTAAACCATGCAGTAACCTTCAAGGTCGGCCACTACCCCTGGGGACTGCTGAGCATGGGTACCACTAAAAGTGGAGGGCAGCCCTGACTCATGGGGGGCACAATTCATGGGGGAGTTCTGCTGAATAAGCTGATCAGCTCCCATCATCCCTGACTGCTGGCCATGGTAGCTGGGGCTTGGGAGCCCTGCCACAATTGCAGAGGCACAGATTCCCCATCCCTGCTTAAGACAGCATCTTCCAGCAATGCAGACCACTTTCTTAGGATCTGGGTCAATGTACCCTTTGGATAGGTAGATTCCTATCAAATTCACGTTGATTCTTTTTGTACACCTTTGAAGTTTTTCTTGCAATCAAGCAGTATATAAAAGTAGTGTCAAATAAATCAATAAATTTTTACCTGTGGGCAGAAAAACCTGAAAGGCAGTACAGTCGTACCTTGGTTTGTGAACAGCTTAGTTCTCAAACGTTTTGGCTCCCTAACGCCGCAAACCCGGAAGTGAGTGTTCCGGTTTGCGAAATATTTTTGGAAGCCAAATGTCCAATGGGGCTTCTGCGGCTTCCGATTGGCTGCAGAAAGCTGGCTGCAGCCAATCAGAAGCTGCACTTTGGTTTTTGAACGTTTGGAAGTTGAACAGACTTCCGAACGGATTCCGTTCAACTTCCAAGGTACAACTGTATAGGAATTACCGTAAAAGCGCTGGAAATTTAAAGGAAGCTCTGCGGAACAGAGGAAGGAAAACACCCTCTAGTGGTTACTTGGAGTGTGCAGGTTGTCAGGCTTGGTTTAGGGATTTCCCTGCCTCTCTTATCATTTGCAGTCCAAATGTCCTCCTAAATCAGACCTACAGTCTTCTTTTCTCAGATTGTCTTGGAGCTATTATAAGAAGTGCAGTTTCTGGATCAGACTGAAGCCCTTCTCACCGACCATCCTGTCTCCAGAGCAACCACTCAAGATATCTCTGGGAAATTCGTGACTGCAGCACGCAAGGTGACAGCCATTCCTTGGGGTTTGTTCCAAACAGCCAGAATTCAGAAGTGTCCTGTTTCTGTGCATGAAGGTTCCGCAAGGGCAACATTCTGTCCTAGATGTTATTTAGCATCTAAAGGAAGCCACTGGGAGCAGACTTTAGGAGCATGGTGCTATCAGCATGCTGATGACGTGCAGCTCTAGTTCTCTGAATAGGAGAGGTCATGCAAGACCTGGACTGGTGCCTTAATGCTGTGGGCACCTGTGGACTGGATGAGCGGCAGTAAAGTGAGCTTGGATCCAGGCAAGGCAGATGCTCTGTGAGTAAATGGTGCTCAAATTCGAGTTGCCTGTTCTGGACAGGGCTGTGCTCCCTCTAAAGGTACATAGCTTCCCCATCCTCAGAGGAAAAAGGACATGGACTCCAAGGCTATCTTTGCTTGGGAGGGGATCCTTTGCAAGTCCCAGCACCAGAGGAGTCCACAGTGACAGCACCTCTCTAGCGTTGCCTTCCAAAGACACCAGCTCGGAGGAGCTAGTAGAAACTTGGCCTTCCTACACCACTGGCTGCTGAAAATATCAGGACCCTTTAAGAGTAGAGGCTCCACTTACTATGGGAATGGAAAGCTGCTCAAAGGAGACTGCAGGCTGATTTAAGGCTCAGTCTGGGTTTGAAGGATGTTGGAGCAACATTCAGGCCTTCCTTATTGGACTGGCAGACTATGGGAGCTATCCAGGGTGCTACCTGGCTTGCCTTCTGACCTCTGCTCTGACTGACCTTATTTATCTAGACTTGCCCCCTGCCTTGTCTGGCCTGGCCTTGCTAGGGGCCTGATCCTGATTTGACCTGACTTTCTGGAAGTGGTGCTGGCAACCTGTAACCTGGCTATCCCTGGCCTCTGTGCCTGGAACATGCCCCCCACTGGGGTTAGAACCCTGCCCCCACACCTCCCGGTAAGTCCAAACAGAAAAAATATCTTCCCATGTCTAATATTTTCTGCCCCGGGACAGAAATTTTTCCAGAGCACCTTTGGATGTCTGCCTTCTGCAGTCTCTTCTGTGCATCGATGCTGCTATCGTGTTTCTGTCTTCTCCCTAAAAGCAACGGTCTACAATCCTAGTACTGCCCTTAGTGTTTCTCTTAGAGCCTACAAGAATTCTAAGCAGAAGGAACAGCAGTATGGGAAGAGTTGGCTTTACCGTATCGGGATCATTCCACCTTCCCGGTCCTGCAACAGGCTGAATTATGTCCTGATGATTTCCGTACCACTCAATGATGTGGAAGAGGCTGTCCCAAGAGTCTTCGATATCACCAAAATTTCTCCACAGGTTACATATTTTGCCAAGTAAGGTATAATTCACCTGGATAAAAACAACAGGGACACAATGGCACAGACGTTGCTAGGAATCTGGTGCTGCCAGTGCGCTTGCTGCTGCACTCAAGAAGTACAAGCTCACAGGCTGAGCAAATGAACAGATACAAATCTTATAACTAACTGCTGTTGGGTCAAGTACAGCCCCTTGTCCCAACCACACCTGGACCAATGAGGACAAGCGACTGGTGAAGCACATACAGGTGATATACAATAACACTCCTCGCTAACTAGCTGTCTAGGCAAACTATGACTGCAGACCTGCGCTCTGCCTCAGACGGTTGGAGCAACAGTGTAATCCACCCCCTGTCCCTTCTTAAACCCCACCCCCCGGCTGATGCAGTCCAGTTGCCTTAAGCCTTTCCTTTAATGGGGGAAACAACAGAAGAGGGAATGCCCAGGGGTTTTCCAAAGACATGACCCCCTCTAGGAGCTCTCCAGGCCCTCTTGCAGCTCATCCCACACCTTAGGCTCCTGCCCGTCCCTGACACCCCTTGAAGATAGTCATCCATCTCCATGCAGAGCCTGAAGGTGAAGAGAGGAAAATGCCAGGCTGGTTGGTGGGCAGCGATGGAGTGGTGTTTGCCATCACCCCGTACCCCTTCCCCCAGACTGGCAAAAGCACTTGCTGACCCGGGTTCTATCCAGACACAGAAACCCCATTTATGAAACACGTCTTGTCTCCCATCTCTACCCGTGGAATACATGGTCCCATGGTCTTGAGAATGTTGCCTGTCCCAGGGCAAAGGCAGAGACACAGAAACAGGTGCAGAAATTACCTTCGGCGGAAGGCCCCCCTCGTAGGCAGGCCAGCTGCAAGAAAAGGCAATGGGCCGTCCTGTTTTGTTCAATGCCGCACTCATCTTTGGGTAGCCTGGGCAATAAAGAAAGACAGGGCTGGCAACGGGCTGTTTTTAATATTGACAAAAGCAGTGGCAGCTGGTTTGCTGGAACCGGTGGGGTGGAAAGCAGGGAGGTCAACAGCAGGTGGCACTAGAGCAAATGGTATCGTTCTCATCCTCTTCCCTGCTAAGTTCTACAAACACAACAGGGAGCCTAAGGAGGAGGAGGAGGAAGGTGACAGGCAGTGCCCCCCCCCACTGGCTGGAAGTAAGGAGGGAGGGAGGGAGGTGGGGGTTGGCTGAGGTCAGACAGAGCTTGATGGGCCCGGGCCCCATTTGCCCAAATGAACCAGCCTCCATTGTTACAATGGCACAATGTCTATGTAGGCATGCTGAAGCCCACTGATTTCCACAGACATTGGTACATCTAACTCAACACTAGCATCTAACTCTATTTTTGTAAACCGCTTTGAGTTTTGTTTCATTTTTGAATCAGGTGGTGCGTAAATCTTATGCAATGAACAACTAAACAGGACTGCTAGTGCTAAAAAGGACTACAAAGCAAAACCATTTAATGCATCCACTGCCTTTGTGGATTACTCCATTTTAAAAAAGGACAATCTGGGATTTGCCGGCTTCAGCTGAAAATCCCCTCCTTCCTCCGATCCTTCCTGTTTATTGACAGGCACGAACCTGCTGCCTTGATGGAAGAATTGGAGAAGCAGCCATCCAGCTTCAGCATGTCAACCCCCCACTCGGCAAAGGTCTTCGCATCTGTCTCAATAGTATCCAGGGTCGTCCCAGGGTAGCCTGAGCAGGTCTTGCTGCCCAGGTCACTGTAGATGCCAAACTTCAGGCCTTTGGAGTGAACCTGGGTGAGAAGGGGCAAGAGGGAGAGCCATGACCCCAGAGTCCAGTGGGGGCCATGACACAGAGTCAGAGGTTACAGAGATACCAGCTCAAGAAAGGGGCCATGTTCCCGACTCTGAGCATGATGCTGGGGATCCTGAGGCTAGCAGGCTCAGCAATCTCCTACAGTTAATGAACCTTTTTCAGCCTGAGGTCCACATTTTCTTCTGGGCAGACTTCCAAAGGCCGTGTGCCACTGGTTGGTGGAGCCAGAGGCAAAACTGGGTGGAGCAAAGAATACAAATTTTAACTTTTTTGTCAACTCTTTTATTTGCTTTTGTCATATCAGCTTATTGAATAAGCACAACAGACTACAACAAAACAAAAATTCATAGAAGCGCAAATTTCCCCAAGAGCAAACACAACTGTTAAGGCTTCATTGCATTTCAAATAAAGCAAAGGAGACAGAATCATTTAGTTTGCTAAATATGCTGCATCTGAATTAAGGGTCGTCTTGCAAAAGTCTGTTTTGAGGAGAATTCAGTTATGACCTTTATAGAGTTTCTATACATATTCACACACTCCTCTCTATCCTCCATCCAGATAAGTAAGAGGTGTTCCAGTGCACCCGCTGGAGCACACTGCTCTCTCAGAGTTCTTGGTGCTGAGACAACTAACTAGCCTCATTGTGCCTTGTGGGCTCCTCCTCAAGGGCAGAAAAAGACTTACAGGAGGGTCCAAAGTTCAATTTGTGGCGTGTATGCTTTCCATTTGGCTCTGGTTAAAATGTTTTGGCTTAAATCAAGTGAAAAGTGTGTTTCTTTATGGCCCAATTTGCACAGCACAGAAAGTTGTGGAATCCCATTCAGGACATGCCAGAGTCAGTAGGCGTCTGGTGCCTGTTGAAGAATCTTACTCTAGCAGGCATTGTAACTGAATACTGATTTTGTCATTTTAACTCATTTTCATTGTATTGGCTTTCTTGTACACTGCAATTAAGTGGCGTATATACTGTTGAAATAAATAAAAACCAATACACAAGACGGCTCTTTCATGCCTTCTTGTTTGTGCCAAATGGAAACAAATCATGATCCTGGCTTGCTGTGTCTGAATTAGGCATCGTGGCTTGTTGTGCTCCATTAAAGCACAACTAGCAAGCCAAGAAGAAACCATGACTACATTAATAGTATTAATTAAATTGGTTAACCAATTGTCACACAGAAATAGCATATGTAGAAGCACTTTTACACAAAACACATACAAAGTCCGTAAGAAATACACAAAGCTACATCCTCTGTAAACTATAGCAGAAGCTTAATCTTAAGTAGCTTTTTTTTTTTTTGCTGATTTTAGAGAAATCTGAAAGCTTTCAGAACAAATGCATTTTATTGAACTTACGTAATCGGCAAGGGCTTTAATGCCACTGGGAAACCTTTCGGGGTTTGGCTGCAACCTGCCTTGCGCGTCTCTTTTATTTGCTGCCCAGCAATCATCCAGGTTGACATACTTGTAGCCGAGCCGCAACCACCCGTCGCCAGCCAGCCTGTCTGCCATAGCCTTGATCAAGTGTTCACTGTTAATGAACAAGAGTTGGAAAGCTAGTTTGAACAGGGCCTTTCTATGTTAGATGGCTGGTTTGAAAAGCCACCCTTTATCAACTCTTTCTGGAGCTGCTCTCCCTAATGTGATTGAACTTGACAAACATCAGCCTAGACTAATGCATAACATAACATGTTGAAAAAAAACTAAGATTTCCAGAGATGATCTATATGATGCTGGAGCTTAGCTGCATAGAGAGGAACAGAGAATTGTCATGCAAGCCCTTTAAAAGAGGGCAGGTTATAAAAAGCCTTTTAATAAAATGGAGACATTATTAACATTGGGGCAACCAAGGCACTGATTAAACAGGCTGCAAATTGCAACAGTACACTTGAAGCCTAGGTTTGTTTAGGTACAGCAATGGAAGAGTCTCACAATCTCTATTTAAAAGAGTGGAAACAACTTGTTTAAAGTAAGCCTCAGCAAAGCAATGTCCACCATCTGAAAAATGTTTTGTTGCCTCATTGTGGGATGAGACATGGTCAGTCCAATACTTTACTTTTCCTTGTCCTTGTGGCTACACTGATGTGATCTAAGAGGTGTGGTACGGGACTTCCCTGAAGCATCACTGAAGGTATGGGGGGGAGGGAACCTCTTAGGCAGGGGAAAAGAGAAGACTGTGCAGATCTCATTGCTGTGCTCTTGGTTTCAAAAGGATATAAGTGTGGCAAGCTGAAATAAGCCTGCAGGTGCATCTGTTCAAGTAAGCTAAAATTTCCTTAGGATACTGGTGCAGTTTTCTTCATTAGAATGATAGGTTCCAAAAACTTAAGGTTCAAGCCACAAAGAGTAGCACATGTGATTCATGCACCTTCAGTTGATGCAGACTTCAGGTAAAAACCACAGGCAGACAACCCCTACCATTGCATTAATGGTTCGCTAGGATGTAAACCAAACCAGTGGAATTCCTCACTTTATGACCATTCCCCCTCCCTGCAATTCCCCCCCCCCAAAAAAACTATTGTTTTAATAACAGCATCCAAGTCAACAGCTTCAGTACAACTTGCAGCGCATTTCCCCCACCTGATGCAGTTGTCAGGATCATTTTTGCAGTCTGTGTTACATCTAAAACGTTCCCAAGGCACCCAGCCCATTGGCGGAGTCTTCAGCAGTCCGTTATCCAGGGAAGCACAGCAGGCTGCAAGGCCCAGCAATATCCCCAGGGAAAAGTGCAACATGATTCAGACACCACCCCCTGTAAAAATCAGAAGAGGGCACATCTGATCATGGGAGGTGGAGCAAGGTTGTTTTCTCCTGCTCTGGAGGGTAGAACCTGAACCAATGGCTTCAAGTTAGATTCCAGAAGATTCTGAATAAACACCAGGAAGAAAGTTCTGATAGCAAGAGCTGTTCGATGGTGGAACAGACTCCCTCGGAAGGTGGAACCTTCATTGGAGGCTTTTAAGCAGAGGTTGGATAGTCATCTGTCATGGATGCTTTATATGAGATTATTGCATTGTAGGGAGTTGGACTATAAGATGCTTGGAGTTCCTTCCAACTGTACGATTCTATGATTCTATAATAATCCAACGTATTACTTCATTTCAGTGGTTTTAAATAATTTTTGATGTTTGAGGCACCTTATATCCATCTTTGGTCACCACAGGAAAGACAATAAACAAATGGGAAGCAAAAGAAGAGGTACCATGTTGCCTTTTCCAATTCCAGGTTGTTTTACTAAGCAATAAGCACCTCTAGTACAGCATTTATTTATTATTCCATTTATGACTCACTTCCCAGGAGGCAGCATGGAGCAATTAACAGTAGAATAAAAATACATGTCAAGCAATTGCATGCATAAAAACCAATTAAAATAGTTTCTTATATACATACATATATACTGTACATATAAACACATATACATATCCATATACACACGAAAGCACATATAAAATAAATTCAAATTCAGAACACATACCTACTGAGATAATTACAATTGTTATTATTATTACCTGCCCTTCACCAGCAGGCCCCAGGGCAGGTTACAATAATTTAAAATTAGAATTAAGGTAAAAGGTAAAGGTACCCCTGCCCATACGGGCCAGTCTTGACAGACTCTAGGGTTGTGCGCCCATCTCACTCAAGAGGCCGGGGGCCAGCGCTGTCCGGAGACACTTCCGGGTCACGTGGCCAGCGTGACATCGCTGCTCTGGCGAGCCAGAGCCGCACACGGAAACGCCGTTTACCTTCCTGCTAGTAAGCGGTCCCTATTTATCTACTTGCACCCGGGGGTGCTTTCGAACTGCTAGGTTGGCAGGCGCTGGGACTGAACAACGGGAGCGCACCCCGCCGCGGGGATTCGAACCGCCGACCTTTCGATCGGCAAGCCCTAGGCGCTGAGGCTTTTACCCACAGCGCCACCCGCTAAACAGATTACATTCACAAGAGATGAATATATATATGAACACTATAGATTGAAGATGCCACCCCCACCTCTGCAAGGAGGGATTTCTGCAACTTAGGGGCAACCACAGAGAATGCCCTCTCCTGGGCCCCCCACCCCACCCCACCCCACCCTTCCAAGGGTGGTGGAACAATCAAGATGGCCCCCTCTGTTTACCTTAACACCCAAGACGGGCTGTAAGGAAGGAAGTGGTCTATCGGATCCTTGAGGCCTAAGTCATTTAGTGCTTTAAACACAAGGGTGAGAACCTTGAATTGGGACTGGCAAGCAATGCAGCTGTTTTAGAACAGGAGTTATACGGGTTGGAACTCCAATTAGTAATCTGCCCACTGGATTTTGGACCAATTGAAGTTTCCAAGTTCCTTTCAATGACAGCTCCAGGTACAGTGTATCACAATAATGCACTCTGGAAGGGTCTGTAGCTGGTGAATCAGGCATAGCAGGACAGAGGCAATCTTAGCCACTGAGGCCATCAGGGCCTGATGTAACAATGTTGGTTGGACCCCAGAAGTAGCCCCAAGCTATGAACCAACTCCTTGCAGGGAAGTGCTACTCTGTCTAGAACCCTGTCTTACTATTTTCTGGACTCAGTGAATAACACCACTGTCTCTTGGAGAGTCAGATCTCCATTTAGGAGAGACTTTTAGAACATACTCAATGGGCACCAAAATAACAGAGAAGGCACCTGTCTGATATAAAACTAGTGAGAGTTAAGGACACAAGAACCTGCTGGATCAGGTCAATAGCCCATTTAGTCCAGCATCCTGTTCTCATGCTGGGCACCCAGATGGCGTTGGAAAACCCAAATATTTCCAAAGGGCAAGTGTCACTACACTAAAGGCCTGATTCCAACATTGTGCTGAACAATACAATAACCATCCTATCAGGGGGTCCATTCAGCACAATGTTGGAATCAGCTGATAGGATGGTTATTGTATTGTATTCATTCAACTTATTTTTATTATTGCTTGTTAGCTGCCCTGAGCCCGGCCTTGGCTGGGGAGGGCGGGGCATAAATAAAAATTATCATCTGCTGAATGCCTTCTCAAGCAGAACACAATGATGGGGTTGGGAACATAAATGATGAGACAATCTCATCCCCTGTATTTCCCCCTCAAAACTTCTGCTGATCACTCCTTTTATGCTTGTGGCATGAATTACTGCTTAAATCCCTGCTGAATTAAGTTTTCTGCAGAAATTCCTTCACTTCCCTGCCTACCCATCAGGTTAGGCAATCCTAGCCACCAAAGTGCATTCACACGCTTGTGGAATCTCATAAGCCTACCACCAAAACCAGTATGCAACAAAACACCATTTTGAGCTGATGGCACTGCACACTGGGGAGTCTCTCAGTGATGGCTCCCCTGCTGCTGTGCCCTTGTCTGGATAAGGCCACCCCACTACGTTTGGCTGCAAAAGTGAGCAAGTCTGACAACTAAAACAGGTTTCAAAGGTGCCAGAATTATGACCTTTAAGGAGTTTTTGAATTTCCGTATTGTTTTTTTTATTATTATTAATGGGTAAGGAGCCATTTTACCCCTTCTCTGTGCGATTCCCCCTCACTGCATTTAGGGTTTTGAATGGCCTTTTCGAGCGTCATCAGAGTGACGTCACAAGGGCTGACTGTGACGCCAGCCGGAGAAAGAAAACGCCTCCACTTCTCAACGAGGGCCCTTTAAAACACGCCCCCTCGGGAAAGCTCCTCCCATGTTCCAGGAGGGCCGTGCGCAGGCGCACTGTCCCTGGTGGTTTGAAGGCGGGAGGGTACGCGAGGCCACCACAGCCCGCATGCGCAGTACAGCCGGCTCTCTTTTCTCCTCAACCTGACAGCCGGTCACGTTCCCCTCCTGAGACAAACGCCGGTGACTAACCCTTCGGGTAAAAAAGGATGGCAGGCGACGCCCGCACCCCATCTACCAGCGGCGCCCCCTGGAAAGCCTCGCGCACCCCCGCCTCATTTACCCGCCTTTCCTCAGGAACTCAGAACAACTCTAATTCCCGGTCAGGGGAAGGGCGGGACTCGCAGAGAGCGGCGGTTGGCCGGACGCACGCGCCCTATCAGCGGCGCCGACGCATAGCACGGCAGCCAACGGCGGGAAGGCTCCTGTCAATTCGACCAATGAGGAGGCGGCGAACTAGGCAGCGGAGGCGTGCCCTGGGACTCAAACGACAGCCAATGGGAAGCGGCGGCATCTCTGTGAGGGGAAAGCGAGAGCGGCGTCCGAGGCCCCGCCTCCCATAGAGGCCCACGTCGCTCCCCGCCTCGTCCAATCAGCCGAAGCCGCGCTTGGAGGAGGCTCCCTCATTGTGGCGCCGCCAGGCGGCCTCCGAGCGGTAGAGGGCGCTGCGGGCGAGTGGAGCCGGGGGCCTTAGGCCGGAAAGGCACGCCAGAGGAAGGAAGCGCGGAGAGGGAGAGAGAAACGGAGAGGCAGAGAAAGGGGCCTGGCTCGTCGTGCCTCCGCCGCGCTGTCTTCGCCTCCTCAGCAGCAGCAGGAGCAGCTACACGGCCTCCTGGCCTGAGGGAGCAGGTGAGGCCCGCGCCCCGAGGCAAGGGGAGGCCTTCACCGCCTGGCAAGGCCTGCGAGGGAGCGGGATGGTGGCGCGGCTCCGCCTCCCGCCTCAGGCCGGGGCTGGGGGCGGGGAGGTGGACGAGGCTCATGAGGAGCCCCCTTGTTGCTCTTTGGGAAGGGAAAGGGGTGCCTGTGGCCTCAGGGAAAGGGGGAGCGGAGGAGACAGGCCTTAAATAATGTCCAGATTTTGGGGGGGGACGACACACACGCTACGGGCGGTCTAGAAATATAAGAATAAATAATAATAAATAGCGGCACAAGCCTTCCTGAGCCTGGATCTTGCCCTTCCGGAGGCGCGCGCGACGTGGTGCTCCTTGGTTTGACGGGTCAAGAAGAGGCTACGTCGCGGGAGGTGGTTTGGGGCAGGGAGCCGGGATGGTGCTCGGCATTCCCGCGCGGAAGCTCAAATGCGGGCGAGGCCGAAGAACCTCCCCGAAGTCCCGTTGGCACCTTGGAGGCGAGGGCAGATTGGTTTCCGGGGCGCGCGTGTAGCGGGAGCTGTGGTTGCCGCCGATTCTCCTCTGCCTTGAAGGTGCCGGGAGGGCGTCTGGTTGAATGAGATGGATGCCCGCGCCTTGTCCGCAAAGTTCTTCTGGTGGCTGGCGATGCCGAAAGGAAATGTATTAAAAGGGGTGTACAGGCGTGTGGAAGAACACTAGTGGGAGTTTGCACGGCTGTTTGGCAGAAAGAAAAATGCTAGCCTACAGGCGCTTGTATGTTACTACTCCCATATGGAAGTGGTGCGAATAACAGCCCATGAGGCTCTGGATCTTCAAGAAGGATGAACTTTTAGGTTGCCGAAACTTCAACCTAAGCCACTGGCATAAAAGAGAGCAACGTAATAGTATTTGGTTGAATGCTTGAGTTTTCATCAGTAGCTCAAAACTGTTAGATTTAATAACAGGCACAGAGACTTTTGAAGTTTCTGTATGGCTGCTCTCTCTTGTTGTGGCTTCCATCCCACCCCTCTCTTTCTCCCACCAGTTTAGTTGTCATGATTTCATGGCCTAGAAAGGTAGCTGTGGCTTATGTTGTGGGCAGATCTGAGATGTCTTGAGTCCCTTCCGTGGCATGGCCATATCTGCATTCCCCATTAGAAAGAAAGGTGTTAGCTGATGGTCCAATTCTTCTCATTTGTACTGTGCCTTTACTACTTGCTTGTTATTCTTTTGTCCTTGCTGATCCCATTTTCATTACCTTGTTACTGGAACCAATTCCCTCCTGTAAGATTAAATTGAAGAGAGATCTGTGTTCATGAGGACCCTTTGGGTTGTGGCACCCGTGTTTGAGCGCCATGTCCTGTGAGACGCATTTGCCTCTCCACCCCACCTCCATGTGTTGTCATTTTGACAATCAGTTAAAACCCAGCTCCATTGTTTGGAATCATTTAATTCCCTCTTGACTGGTTGGTACTTTGCTGCTGCAGGCTTACCTTTGCTGCTCAGGTTCTGTTTATTTTTAGCATGTATGTAAACTTAAATACCTTGTAATTGTAAATTTTTTATTTGGACACTTCATTTACTGTTTGGCCTTCCTCTAAGTTTGATTAGGTTTCATTGGTGGCCCCACACGTGGACTTCCATCCCCAAGTACTTCATTTTGCTGCCTTTCTCATAGGCTTTAAGCAGACCATAAATACTGTTTATTCCACCAAGCTTTTTATCTGTTTTATTGCTGGCCTCTTCCATATAATTTTGCCTGACATGTTTCCTTATTCCATTGTTGCATTGCCTTAAATATGAGGTAGAAGTGAAATAAGTGTATTTATACTGCTGTGTGGGCACCTTTTGGCAGCGAGGCAACTTATGAACGCCAGTAAATTAAGTAAAATGAGGCCAGCATACTTAGAAATTGAATAGAAATTGCTTTAAGAATTGCCACACAATAAACTGAAGCTGTAAAAAAATACTCTGCCAATCTGTCAGGCTTCACTTTTAGCTCATTTTTTGATGCTGCTGTTCTCCATTAAAACTGAATATATGCAGAGGCAGACCTTTCATGGGATTATTAGATTATTTTCCTATCTCAAAATGAGTGCAGTATCTTGAGTCTTCCTACTGTACCCCGAGGCAGGTTTGTTGTCTAGAACTCTCCAGTCAATTTTAAAATACAGTGGTGCCCCGCAAGACGAATGCCTCGCAAGACAAAAAACTCGCTAGACGAAAGGGTTTTCCGTTTTTTAGTCATTCCGCAAGACGAATTTCCCTATGGGCTTGCTTTGCAAGACGAAACGTCTTGCGAGTTCTTGCGAGTTTGTTTCCTTTTTCTTAAAGCCGCTACGCCATTAATAGCCGCTAAGCCACTAATAGCCGTGCTTCGCAAGACGAAAAAACCGCAAGACGAAGAGACTCGCGGAACGGATTAATTTCGTCTTGTGAGGCACCACTGTAGATACAGTATGTAAGAGAGACTTCTATGTACCTCAAGCAGCTTATTCTGCCCTCGTGGGCTGAACAGTGGTGGTTTCAGCCTTAAACAGTATAAAATAATGTCATATGTCTGAACCACATGACAATACAAAAGCGTTTCTGCACTTTAAAAAAGAACAGTATAAAATAGTGACTCTGAAGAAGTTTTTTGTGCTCACACATTTTTCTCGTAACAGTTTCAGTTTTATGTTGCAGCAATTGGAATTATTATTATTATTTGGTTTCTAGCCAAAAAAATCTAATGACATTTTAGCAACTAACACATTTATTGTAATAATAAGTTCTGTGGGGCAAAACTCGCTTCCACTGATGCATGAAGTGGTTTGCCTAACTGATTTGAAACACTACAGCAGGGATGAGAAACCTGTTGGACTCCACCTCCCATCAGCCCCAGCCAGCAAAAGGCATTGTAGTCCTGTGTTTGGAGGAACACAGGTTTCCTGCCCCATGCACTACCACAGCTACCTTCATCGGCACCTTGGAAATGTGAGAGGTTATTTTAAGATTGCCACGAAGAGTGACATTTTAGAAGGTTGCCTAATTCAGTGTTGACACCAATTTACTGAGAGATAAAACACAAAATTGGTACCTTCTGGTGCACCATTCTAACTTCTTTGCCCCTGCTCCTCTCTTGTGCTAATTCGGTAACAGGTTGCTTGCATCAAAACATTCCCTTTGTCAGGCATAGTTCCTCTCTCTTGATAGTTAACAGGGTTATGCAGGGGCCCCCTTCTAAATTTGTTTTTGCAATAATGGAATAAAAAGTGACTCTTCTCAATGTGCTGGTGCCGCTCTTTGTTGTGATTGTTTGCCTAGGAATTGTCAATGATTTTATAATTGTGTAAGCACAATAGTTCTGTACAAGGGATTGTAGCAGCCCATCTAGTGGCTGAGAGTCTGGTGTTTACTGTTGCCTGCCTTCTTCCATGAAGCCTCAGCATGAGGAATTCCAGTGCAATTCTAAGAAACAGCTCAGAATTCTTGTGATGTGTGCAGAAGAGCAGGTGTGGGATTTCTGAGTATCTACTAATCATTTCTAATTCAATCAGTTGACAATGATGGCTCCATTTGGTAGAGGCTGCTTTGGAAGTTAATTTGGAATGGAGACTGCTGTCAATTCCTGACAAGTCAGTTCTTACCCTTAGCTTGAAAGTCAGAATTTCTATCCAAACCAGATATGTATAATTGCAGATAATTCTTTCTCTCTAAAATCAGTGTTTCTACCCTTTGCCCCCCTTGAGCTACCATAACCCACCCCCCCCACACTTTTAAACCTGGCTCACCTTTTTATTTTATTTTATGAAATGGATTTAAATATTGTGACTTTTATTTTTTTTACTTATATTGTCCATATTTTTAGAAACACATACATCCTCCTCCCCAAGATCTTCATACACCGACCAATTTAGAAACACGGCTTTATAATGATTCATTCCGTTATGCTACTACTTATGGCTGCATTTCAGAAATATTCCGTTGGCCCAGTTTTTATGTACACCAAATTTAATGGTTTGTTCTTTCCTTACTAATGGGGAGAGTCTGAGTCTGCTGAGGACAGTTTACTGTTTCTACCTGTAGCTCCTCACCGAGATGTCTTTTTCCTTTCCCACCCCTCCAGGTACTACTGAAGAGCATGCTTGGGTAGAGGCAGTTGGGGTGCATTCTGATCTGCTTACTAATGTAGTTTGTTTAGAATGAAACAAATCATGATCCCTGGTTTGTTATAATGATAAGCCATGGATTGTGGGTTGTTTCTCTTGTGTACTTGTAAGGAGGAACAAAGAAACCAAAGTTGTCATTAACTTGGTTATATTGTGATGTGCAAGGAGACCATACCAATCTCTTGTTGATCATTCTGGAACTGTCTGCTATGTCGTTGCTTTTGTGCATTGGGAAACAAATAATTACATGAGATTTAATTGATTTTTGTCCAATGGACGGTTCTGGAGTCTTTTTTAAACCAGTTTGGTGTATCTGTATCTATGTGCTTTTGGGTGGTGTCATGTGATAAGCCAAATTCCTTTTAAAAGTTATCTACTTTTATTTTGTGAACACAGGCTGTATTCAGTTGTAAAGGTAAACCATGGTTTGGTGTCACAACAAGCCTAGGCTTTCTGCAGGGAGGAGGTTAACTGTGGTTGAACATATCTTCTGACCCCAAACTATGGTTAATGGATTTTATTAACAATGGTTTGAAGTTGCTTTTTTTGTTTTTTTGTTTAATTGCAGTTAAACTAACCACAGGTCTTCGGAATTTGAG